GAAAATCAAACGAATCATTCTGGTTGCATCAAAACACCTTTGTGAACTGAAGAGATAATTTCTATTTCCCATTGTGAAGACCTTTTGAAAGAGAGTGGGGAGTTTTGGCATAAATCTCCCTCAGGTTTTCAGAAAGCAGAGCTGGAGTGCCTGTTTCAGCTTTTCAGCTTTATTGAAGCAAAACCTTTCAGTCAGGAAATGTTCCTTGGTTTTTTCCTTGTGAAACAACAAGAGATTACAACTTGGTGCAGGACAGGAGCTGGCCACTAGCCCGGGGCTGGCAGTGGGAAACGAGGCCCCTCCTGCACAGCTGTACCACACATGAGGCCCCTCCCGTGTGGCTGTAACTCTTAGAATAAGGTACTGTGCACTGGGCTGGTGCAGAAATGTGTGTGTGGCCATGAACATCTGTACACAGGTTTATAGCAGCATGATATCAAACATCTGGGCCACAGAGCAGATTAAATCAAACAGCAAGTCTTCCCAAGACAAATTATTTCTTTTGCATTGAGAAAAGGAATCAGAAAGGAAGGTTTTTGGGATCACATGCCAGCTGTAACCTACAGAATTGTATATTCACAGAGTATTGATGAAAGAAAGTTAAAGATTGTTCCAGGTCACTGCAGCACTAACGAGTTCCTCCCACTGCACTGGAGCACCGCAGTGCCCAGCAGCCTCCCCACACACCCTGCTCTCACACTGCAGGGCTTTTTGTTGTTTAGCAAACTGAGAGTCTGTAAATTGGACTAAACACAATCCTCCTGGTCAGCCTTGTTCAAGAGGCTCTGTTTTGATCAGCCCACTGAAATCTGGCTGTCCATCACTCACTCACTGCCTCCCAGCCACGACGACCCAGAGATCTGCGAAAGGACTGGGGGAAAACACCAAAACTGGAGAGACTGAGCCTACAAGAGGGCTCAAACCAGTGGCCTCTCCCACATGTTATGTTTGGCTTAGGACCTTTCTGTATTTGGCACTGACAAGGGAAGCAGAACTTTCTCACTGGTGACCTGACCTGCTTCCCACGCATGGCCACTGCCGTTCCAGGACAGCCTCCAGCGGCAGGAGGGACACACCGGGCTCACTGCCATCCTCAGCTTTGCTTTCTGCTTGTTTGCTTCTCACAAAGCATGTCAGCCTGACCCAAAGAAGATGGCTGCTCTTTGCTTGCTTCTAAAGGGAAAGCTTCTCTTTGAAGAAAATAACACCTAAACATGAAAAATAAGGATCCAATAGGAAAGGCCTTACAGGCAGGGGTTTCTGTCAGCTCCTTATAGTGACAGGCTGCAAAACTTCCCGTATCAACATCACAAAAAGTAAGACATAATTTCTTTGTTATACTTGATGACAACGGATAAGAGAGAAGTTATCTCTCCTGAGCCTACCAGACACACATGGCACACATTGATCTGTCCCTTATGGAGCAGGATCTTTGACCAGACCTGCTCTCTTTTGTTCCCAACAGACTGAACTCCTTCTTTATTCTTTCCCTGGGAGTCTTCAGGGATAGGTGACTGTTTCATCTCACCCATCCCTCCACAGTTAAAGAATGTAGAATCAGGCCTGTCTCTCAAGAACACCAAAGGACATCAGGTTTATAAAGCACCTGCTGAGCAACAGATTTACTTTCCCCAAAATAGGAGCAAATTAACAAACAAATTGATTTCCAAGGCAGACTGTCTTTAACACCGTGAATGCTAATTTCAGCAATACCTACATGATACTCACATGTCCAGTCCTGCTGTTCTCACATCCCAGAATAGTCAGTGACTGAATTCATCAATTGTTTCCAAGATTAATGCTACAGCAGATCTGGTACACTGTGTGTGCAAATTGCCTTATTCCTACACTCCATATCCTAGCTTCCATATAGGGATAAGCTGGAGGCCAGCTTTCACTTCTGCTCAGATCCATTCCAATTTGAATTTGCAAATCCCCTTGTTTCCACAGCTGTTGTGCCTGAATTCCTCTCCCCAGGAGCTCTGTGAGCACATTGCTCCAGACTTGCAATCGCTCCTATAAATTTGCCAGTGAATTGCAAACAGCCTGCACAACCAGTCTGGATCACAAAGCAATTTAGTTCAGAACCAGAGGCTGCAGCACAGCTGAGAGCCAGGCAAACCCTTTTGCTGACAATCACAAGTGTCAGTTGTTTCATAGGGTGCCAGAGGTTAATTCCACATTAACTTTTATGTTTTGAGAAAAAATATAAAATGGCATTTATATTTCCATGCACACATCCAAAAGGCTTTTGACTCACACATCTCCCATGTGCAGCCCAAGTGGGAACACACAGGACTGTGAGCTGCACTGCATGCTCTGGGCTGAGCCTGTCACCAAGCAGGGTGACAGCACCAGTGCAGGGATTCCACCCCAGCTCTGCTGCAAACAGCCTGCTGCTGTCATGTAAGGAGTAACTCTGCTTTGTAGTCGCCTGGGACAGCCTAGAAGAGGGTGGGTAGCTCCAAACAGGTGAGTGATCATCTGGGTCAACGTCTGAAAACAGCATCACAGCTAATGTGGGTCTAGGCAGGGCGATGTTAGAACTGCAGGCGCTTAACATTACAACAGGCAATATTAGCTGCTTATGTTTGCCCCATACAAAACCTGAGACATCAGTTCTTCCATAATGGTAAACATGCTCTGGACTCATACTGGCAGCATGGATTGAAGTGGAGTGGGTGTGTTGTGGAGGGTTTATTTCAGTTTCCTATAGAAAACTAAGAGCAGATACAGATACACCTGTACTCTTGTCCTGTCCCTAAGCTGAGCCCTGCTAGCAGGTTACCTGGGCACTTCTAAACCTTTTCAGCATGTGTTACCACAAACTGTTTATCTCAAATCCCTCCAGAGCAGAGCTTTACCTTGGCTGTTTTATTGTGTGCTGGCAAAAGGAGAAGAACTGGTATGATCTAGTGCCTTAGCTCCATGTGGGAGCTATTGCCACCCCCGTGTCTCCCCAGGGAGCAGCAATGCTGAACCCCTGCCCATCTCGCTGTCATCTTGAGAAGGTGACTCCTTGGGAGCCATAGGCCCATCAGGGATCAGTACAAACAGACACACAGGATGCTTACAGGATAGACTTGCTGCCAAAGCCAACATTTGCTTGCAGGCTCCAGCTCAGTATCACCAGGACTGTGAAACATCTCTCCTCCTCTTCGCCTGCCCAGCAGCTGGGAGAGCCAACTCCTGAGTAGAAGCAGCTGTGAACTTGCTCATAAACTGTTCTTTAACACAGTTTATTGCAACAGAAACTTCTAGCAAAATGATCTGTTTCTGTTTTGTCCAAAGCATTCCCTTGAGTTCTCTCGGTCTGGGGAGGAATTGGTTGTCACAGGACAAGCTCTTCACCAGAGCCACTCAGCTGCAGTCTCCTCCAGGGCATGGGCCCCAGGGCTTCTCACAACCTGGCTGGAGAGGAGATCTCTGCCTCTGATGGTCCACCTGGCCCAAAAAATTGAAGGACATTTTGGAAGCCTGTTCCTTGAGGAATGTGTGAAATCCAGCTCCTGGCCCTGTGCTACCCTGCTTGGGGCCAGCACCCAAACCCCAGGCTGGGCATGGGCTGCAGAGCTGCAGGAAGGGCAACTCCCCCGTTCTGCTGCTCTGAAGCAAGGGAATACATTTACACTCACTCCTCTGTCTCAGTGCAGGCTCCAAACCTTTTTGATCTATTTTTTAACAAGTCCATAGTGAAAAAAATAAAATAAAGGCTTCCTTCTCAGTTCTTATTTCTGATGCCATAGCTTCTAAATTCTCCACAGACTGATGGGCTTGGAAACCTCCATTTTGCAGCAGCAGCTGAACCAGGCCTGAATCTGAGCAAAGAATGCTCTGAATATGGATGCTCAACAGCCATCCAGCCTCTCACCAGGTTTAATGAAGTGTAATGAAAGAAAATTAATGAGCTTTGTCCTCACTGCCAAAGGAAAAGGCAGCTGGAAATATGCAGGGATCCAGTATGAATTGAACATGATTAAATATGTGATAACTATTGTTCTGAAGAAAACAGTGCTGTTATACCTAAAGAGCCCCCAGAAGTCCCTTGTCATTACAGCCATTTAGCTGCTTTAATTGCCTCTGAAAGCCACTCAGATTTTTTTATGCTCTTTCCACTTTAAAACCGGGCACAGAAATATGTAAGCACTAACCTGCATCCATTTTGATAGTGGGAATTCAGGGGAGTGAGCCAAAGACAAATGTTTCATAGGGAACTGCTCAGTTCTTGGCCCACAGGGTGATGTGACAGTGATGTAAGTGGGCATGGCTGCCGCTGGAGGATGGCTACCACAGCCCATGGGGTGGGCCACAGAGGTTAGTCCCACCACCCACCCTGGCCCCTGGCAGGCAGCTGTGGCAGAGAGAATAGGGAGTAGGAGGTGCCTGACCCCAATCCAAAGGCACCCCAGGGCTTGCAGGGAGGCTGAAGGACATGTCACAGCAAGGCTGACAGTGAGGCACAGCTCTTGTCATGGTCCTTGATGGGGCTCTCACCGTGACGTGCACTACCCTGAATTTGTGTCGGCCCACTTGCTCATCAAAAAACAGCAATCCAACTCTAAATTAACAATTTCTCTTCTGTATTCTTAATTGATTCACAAAACTGAAAATATTACCTCCCCCCCTTTACATTAATTACTTTAATGGCTCACAGTTTTTTGGGAGACAATTCCCAACTCAGTTCTGTCAATGGAGCAAGACTGGAATGGGGCCTGAGCTAGTCTGCTAGGAAAGACCAAGTGGAGTTGTTCTGGAGAGCAGAAAATGTCTCCCTTCTTTCTTGGGGAAGAGGAGTATTTAAGAAGGACCTTTTTCACTCGTTACTTCTCTTCAGTCAGTTCAAAGGGCCCTTGGATGCCTCCTGGGCAGACATTTTCTTTACAAAGGGCTGAGAAGGATATACCATAGAATCATAGAATGAGCCGAGTTGGAAGGGACCTCTGAGATCAGAGTCCAACCCTTGATCCACTACCACCGTGGCTCCCAGACCATGGCACTGATGCCACATCCAGTCTCATCTTAAAAACCTCCAGGGATGGAGAATCCACCACTTCCCTGGGCAGCCCATTCCAATGCCTGATTACCCTCTCTGTAAAGAATATGAAGAAGTCAGGGTTCCAGCTTCCCCACCTCAGCTTCTAGAAGTACAGTGCACAATTGAAATGATGCCCCAAAATCTTTTCTGTGGACAAGGATCCAGCCCCCGCTCCAAGCACACAGCCCAATGTTTGTACGTGGCTTTTAGAGCCCCGGATTCTTTTGAGACATGAGTTTGAATCCATCATCCAGGATGGATCTCCGATTGCGTCGTAACCTCTTTTGCCTCTCGAGATGGATGACAGCTCCCAGGAGGATGCTGGTGGCCAGGAGCAGCAGGATCCCTACAACAGCCAGAGCGATGACTGTGGCCTCTATCTGCCCTTGGGCCACCTTAGATCCAAAAAGCATGATCTTCTGGAACTCATCCTCATCCTCATATGGCAACCCTGAGAGACAAACAATAAGATATTATTGTGAAGAAATATGAAAAATCAGGAAAATAAACCACCACCCTAAACTACTCAGACTTTTACACAGAAAATTTCAAAGGGATTGTATCTACTATCTACTGCTGCTCAAATGTCTTCTCACATCTGTCCTTTATAACACCCAAAAAAACCCAGGCACCTGCTTGGGCTCTTTTCTCAGGGGAATATCAGAGCAGAAGGCAAATGTGCTTGTTTCATGCTGACTTCATCCCTTCAGCTTGTAGTGGTGATGGTGAAACTTCCCTAAACCACAGAGTCACTGACAGTCCAAGAGAGGTGTGCAACTCAGACACTCTCCTTCAACACTCTCTGAGTCTCTGCCAGTTCCTAAGCTCACGCTCTCCTAAGAAGCTGAATCCACACACAGCAGGCACAACAGGGGGCGAGGCCTCTAAACTTTTCCACCTAACACAAACAAACAAGCCTAACCAGCCCAACTTCCTTAATTCTATCCCAGGGCACAGACATTTGGCAGGCAGATAAACAAAGCAGCCTGAAGCTCTCCCCGCTATCCATCGCAGCCAGGCCTTGGGCTGAGGTGCTGCCAGGTTGGCAGAGCAGAGGCTGTGGGTGCTGTGTGTGCTCCTCCCTCCCCCTGCACCATCCAAAGCTCTGTGCTGCTGAGGAATCTGCCTCTCCCCCTTGCACAGACAGGGTTTGGCAGCTCTGTCCACACCGTACCTGCAGTAACGCTCTCGACTTCCAGCTCCAACTCTGAAAGGAAACAAAAGGAGGGTGAGAAGGTGTTGGGCTGAGCAGGCAGAGCTCAGAACAGGGCACATCTGGTGAGGATCAGGTCTAGAGGCAGCCTGGTTTCCAGGGCTTGCAGGTTTTCTTTTCTCCTGTCAGTGTTTTCCCTCTCCAAATGAGACAAGAACATGTATCGCCTGCTTCAGAGGCAGTCCCAGTCCCGCAGCCCTTCCCAGCCTTTGAAAGAAAAGTGCTGAGGAAGAAACACAGATGACACTGACACTGAGCAGGCACTGGTCACCCACAGCTGAACCACCGGGGCCTTCACAGCTCTTTAGATTGGTAACAAATCTAAAACCACATCACCATGTGACTCCGTCACAGCCAAACCCAGTACTGAGTGACACTCACCTCTGAGCACCTTCCAGCTCTTAGAACAATTACTGGCTGAGGGCTGAATGTTGCATCTCTGATACAAGCTAAAATCAAACTCACAATAACAACACAGGCAATGTAAAATCCAGAAAACAATTTGTTATTAACTCCAGCTCCAGGTATTAGGATATTCAAAGGGAACATCCTAAATTAACTATACTTAAGTAATTAACTGCTCCATTACCTGGCTGCTTATGGTATGTAAGGGCGTTGTACATGTGATGCAAACACTCAGAATTTTGCAGCTGTAGCATAAAGTGCTGCTGGATGTTTTACAGTAACACTGAAAGCTCCCTACCTGCTCTAGGCAGGACGGTGAAGAGGATCTCCATCCCAGCATGGATATGGTCAGACACATGACAGTGAAGCAGCCACGTCCCAGGGTTCCCAACCAGCATCTCCACCATTTCAAAGGTCCCAGGGAACAGATCTACAACATCTGCTCTATAGCTTTTGCCATTCTGTCAGAGAAGAGAGGCCATTAGCTGCAGTGCTCTCTGCATCTTCTCAGGAGGAAAACTCTGCAGTGTCACTAGGGACTTCTTCAGCTTTTTAAAGCTCAAAAAGAAAAAAAAAAGCTTTCAGAAAGCAGCTCCAGGGCTGCAGCTGGGAAAGCAAACACAATCTGGTAATGCCTAACCCTAACAAGAATTAAGCTGGACATCTCAGCACAACACAGAGGTTCAGGGAGTCAGACTGCAATGTGTAAAACCACATCCCTTTCCAAGCTGGATGAAACTGCCGTGGAGTCATTCAAAAAATTCAAGTCCAGAGTAAAGCAAAAGTGCTTTACTGTCAGCAGATATTCTTACCTTGTATATGAAGGTCTCAGCATGAAAATGGACTGTGTGGACATCAATCTCCTGGCCCATCCCCAGCAAGTACCAGTTCACCCGCTCTCCCTGGTACATGGTCAGCCCAGGCAAGTTGGCATAGAGCCTGCCATTGATTGCTGTGCAGTAAATAACACAAAGGGGAAAAGGCTGTTAGTGAAATGGTAAAGGTGCTGCACCACCTCAGAGGAAGAACATGCAGGGCAAGTTACAGGCAACAAAGCTCATAAAGCCACCAGTGCATCAGCAGTTAGTGTTCCCCACATGACAGTCCCCCAAGAGTTTGGCAGTCTCTCCCCAGCTCAGCTACTTCTCCACTCTGCTTACAGCCAAGAAAAGTGACTCACACCCAAGGCCATGCTGTAGCTCAGCTCAAATAAATCTCAAAAACTACCTCTTGGTGTAAACCTGCAGTCAGTCAGCAGAAGTGGTTGCCTCTAGAAGTCAAGATGCATAAAAATGGCCTCCTTAGCCCAGTGATGGAGAAACATGTATATACCTACATACCCCCAAATGTCTGAGCACCTCCCTTGGTGAACAATGACGAGGGGTAAATCCTGCCAGCGGGCAGCCCTGGGGTGCTGTGCCTCAGCCTGGCCACACATGTCACACTCCAACCACTCGTAAAATCCCTGCATGGCAGGACTTTATCTCTCAAGTAGCACAGCTGGAAGGAATCCTGCTGTGACTGTGCACGCAGGAAAGGGATCCAAACAGTGAGTTAGCTGACTGCCATGGCACACACAGACTTCCATTTTCATGCTCAGATGACAACAGAGGGAACAGGATGGAAAGAGACAGGGTCTAAGGGCAGAGCACCAGGGTTTTACTCCCAGATCTCCCACAGGCACTTTGTGTAGCCTCAAACAAGCATCCAACTTCAGCCTGCTGGTTCTGCTAGCTGTAACACTGGGTTAACAATTACACCTTCACGGACACGTGTATTTGGAGAGTCTTTATCTCAGCCATACAAAACCAGTAGTAATGTCAGCACACATAATGCCACTCCTCACTACTCTTATCTCCACAACTGCTAAGGGACCTGTTTTGCTGAGGATAGATCCAGATATAATATCAAAAAAACCTAACATAAATAACATGCTAATTTAGAAAAATATGTTCATCCTGTCATGGTAGAAATAGGTTTTTGATAATTAGCTAACACAACTGAGCCATGTATTGCAGCCACATAGCTCAGAAAATTAATTTGAAGTCTAACATTCTGATGGTCCCTGAGACAAACAGAATTAAATTAGTCTGATAAGTTAATTTCATGTTTGATTTTATTTCCTTTCCTGAGTCACTCAGACACATCGGAGATTAACCTCTCTGGCCTGGATGTTGTATTCCTCCTGACAGGGACAGCCACAATGATCAGCCCTCACTGCAGATCAAAGATTTGGGCTGTAGATGTGCTACAATATTGAGAACAGACAGTTTAATTCTGTTTGTGCCACTGATTAGGCAAAAGGATGAGGACATTCACCGGGAGTCAGGCTCCTGGGTTTTGGGTGGCTGACTACTTAGAGAGGTTGCAGAGTTAACACCGACTGGCATTACCATGCATTTTGTTGCTTTCCACAAATTTCTCATCCATCAGGCTGATCTCCTTGTGATTGCCCTTACTGTAATGTTCCACATTCTCCTCCAAGTACCAGGACTGATTTTCATCAAAAACCAGGAACAGCAGAGCAAACTCCCTCTTTACATCCTTCCTGGTGCCATCGGACCGCAGGGCCCCTCTCCGGCAGACCTTCAGGGGCCCGATCAGCCCACTGTACATATCCTAATCAGAAGGAAGGAGAAATCTCTGAGGCAAGGACCTTCTCACCCTCTTTTGTATGCAGTTCTTTGCCTTTCAACAATCATTTTCTGTTCCTGCATCACCCCACTTAAAAAACCTGGTGCTGCCATGCAAGCAGCCCTGTTGGAGAGCATCAGCCACCGAAACACAGGAACCATCGATGCTCTTACAAGTGTAAATCTAAAAGTCGTAAACACAAGTGGTATCAAGACATTCTCCACTCTGCGACTGCAAAGACATCTGCAATTTGAGATAAAAAGGCCATTACTTCTGGGTTGAATGTGATGGTTTATTGCAGGATCCTCCAGGTTTTATCTCCTGTGAAATCAGTACTATGACAATCAATTCTAGCAACGGTCAAATCTTCCTGCTTTATCCATGAGACCTCAGTTTGGATAATTTCTGCCTTTCTAGATCAGCCCTAGGGCTCTCACCAATAGAAACCATGACTGACAGGGAGATGTTCTAATATCCTGCAAATAACTGAAGGAAGGTTAGTGGCAAGGAGACAGTGGAATTGTTTTATGAAGGTTTGTTAGGAAAAAATAAGGACAAACATCAGGATAAATTTGGAAGATTTCCTCTCCCAGGAGAACACTGGACGTGTTACCAAGTGGTTCCACCCCTTGGCTGGACCAATCTCTAAATTGTACCCAACTCACATTGTTTTCTAGATGGGGTAAAAAATTGGTCTAATTGGGTTTTTCTGGCTCTAACTTCTATTTTACCTTTACTGTGTCCACCGCGGAGTAGTAGATCCAAGGAACACAGGCTGAATCATTTGGCCCTGGACCAGATCTCTCAGGAACTTCCCACCGGTACGTCACAATGTCACCTGAGGGACAGAGCAGCACATCACACCAGGTGACACACCCACTCACCGAGCAACAGCAAAGAAAGATAGAAAAAGAAAATCCTGCCTCCAAAGTCCAAATTCAATTCTGTTTTTCAGACACTTCATCTTCCTTCCCCAAACACTGAAAGCAGAGTAGAAGCTCCCCTCTTGCAGCAAGGCAGAGGGGTCACAGGATGCACACACTGTCTGGTACCAGCACAACTCAGGTTTATCTGCTGCCTTTGAGACTGGACCTGGCCATGGAAATTCCACCTCTCTTCATTCAGATGGGGCTTGAGGTGATCTTTCCTATTCTTGAAGTGTATTTATGATGCTTGTTCAAATTGGTTTTTAAAATTACTCTTTTGCACATTAGTAATCCATTGCAGAAAGACATGACCCAGCCAACAGCCTGGTTGTGGCTTGAACAGCTTGGGCAAGTTGGAGGGGATCAAAAATTACACACATTGGCATCTGTATCATGAAACAAAGTGGCAATTTCAGTCTGATCCTGGCAAGCAATTGTGCATTTCTGCTTTTTCATACTATTGTGCTCATACATCCCCAAAAGAAGAGGAGCAGGCTTCCCCCATGCCATGGCTACTAAGGACTGGCTAAGCTGTCACCTGCCACCACCTTCCCCTTCTCCCAGACAGACCACACTCAGTGTGGGGGAATAAAGCTGCACACAGAACTCTGTCATACACTTATCCTAGAAGTCTGAGCAGAATGTGAACTCCCAAGGTTGTCATTACCACACAAATGGTACCACCAAAACCATGCTGGACCTGAAAGACCAGTTACTGTTCAGTTCCAGTTCTCTGTCATAAGAAAATCAGGACATCTGAGGCTGCTTAAGTAAGCCAGTCAGGCTCTGGGCTAAAATCAGCTGTGCCAGCCCACAGAGGAAAACTGGAGACAGGGACCTACCGGGGTTTGCCACTTGGGGCTGCCCTGCGTGGGGCTCCAGCACCCCGTGTGCGTGCACGGAGTAGGGCCGCGAGGCGTTGTTCTTGAACACCACGTTGAGAATCTCGCCCACTTCCGCCCACAGAAAAGGACCTTGAGACAGCAAGAACATAGGCTGAGACCAGCAAAATCCATCTCCCGGGATACTCCCACCTCAACATCTCCCCGGAGATATTACCTTATAATATTTATGATGTTCCCCTCCCTCTTCTCTACTTCCCAAAAAGAGAACTGGACGTCAGTCCCAATCCAAGTCTTAGGAAACTGGACTGAGTTTCACAATGAGGGCAATGAAGGTGGTTACACATCCTAACTGGGCCCAGCACAACTAAGGCTTTCTGAATACTGTTGTGCTAAGTGTCACAACATGTTGATCATCCCTTGCTGTTGGTTTCAAAAAATGTGGTAATATTCAACCTGGCCTGACAATGTCACAAATCAGAGCTGCAGCCTATTTTGAGTGGCAGCTGCTGCCTCAGCCTGGCTGCCCTACCACCACTTACAGCCTTGGGTTTGTAACACAATAAAAACAGAACTGGGTCTCTGCAGACTTTGATTAGTCACTGCAACATGCTCCTCCACTTCCCAAGGCTGCCTTGGGAAGTGCATTTGCCTTGTCCTGCCTTGTCCTGCATTTCTCACAGCTACAAATTTTCCCCTCCACGTCTCAGTCCCCTCTCCAGAAGTCAGTGGTTGTTTCTCTCCCCCAGTCAGAGAAAGGCAGCTGTGAAACATGCTTTGCCTGAGCCATGAGAGAATGCTGGTGCAAAGGCAGGCAGGAGAGCCTAGGCTTTCCTACAAGCTGTGCTTAGGACCCTTCTAACTGTTGTCTCCAAAGCTGGCAGACGTGGGTAGGAGACAGTCCCAATTTCTCCTCACTTGCATACACAGCAGATGCCTAAATATTCAATGGGCTCTCAGATTACTGCCCTGAGCCACTGCAGCTCTAGAACCCCAGTCCCATTGCTGTGTGAGCAGAAGGTGTACCATCTACACACATCCTTACCCAGGATCCCTAGGTGTTCGTCACCACTTTTCCTGGCCTTGGGGGTCTGGAAAGTGCCATCCATGTACTCCCTGTAAACTGCTTTCTTGTACCTGGAGCCGAGCAGTCCGTTCTCGTTGCTCAGAAACACGTCGGCATAGCTGAGAAATGCAGAACGAGTGCTGAATACACAAAACCTCACAGGGAGTAAGCAACTAAGCTGTGGCAGGGGGTCCACAGCTGAAGGGATTTCCCAGAGCCAGCTTTGGCTGCAATGGAGAGCAAAATGACTCGGAGGGCTGCGCTCCCATCGGCAGCACCACCAGCACATGCACCAGGTCACAAGTTGGCCAAGACACCCAACAGGCTCCATCAGGGTCTGCTGGGATACCGGCACAGGTTTCCCCAAAAGCTGGGCTCTACCTCTCTTCAGAGTGGTTGTGCCGCTCCCTCTCCCAGCTCCGGTCGGGCGCGTAGTCCCACACCACCTCCTCCGCCGCGAGGTAGTACGTCCGCACTCCCGTGTACCGACGGGAAGGAGCAGGGTCCCTCTTTCCACACTTGGAAACGACATACTGTTCCCTCATCCCATACTGGTAGTGATTGCTCGTCTGGCAGTAGATCTCAAAAGTCCCTGAGGGAGGCAGGATGAGCAAAGAAATCAGTTACTTTTGGAGATTCCAGGAAACAGGTGCTTTGCCAGCCAGTGTCAGTATGTGCTGGCTGTATCTGTGTGGTGTTTAGGGAGCTTGGTTGCCACAGGCCAAAGTTAAAAGGAGTCACTAGAGAAACCAAGAAGGAATGGCACGACAAAGTCCTACAAAAAATCGTCACAGGAAGCTTTCTTACACAATAATCACGTGAAGCACAGCTCACCCTGTAAGAGTTGACACCATGCTAGAGAATCTGCCACAGGGGCAAATACCACAATGGGAGACCCTTCCATCTGCCTGGGCAGCTGTGCAAGCACTCACCGCTGTTATCTGGCTGCATGAAGGCAGTGGCAAACGTGTGGGGGAACAGATTGGCTGAATCTCTCCGCATGCCGTTCATCTGCAGGGTGTTTCCCTGAAACACAGCTCCGTGCACATCCGCTTCACTGCCCAAGCCCAGGAGGTGCCAGGACACTTTGTCTCCATCACACATATCCAGCCCAGGCAAGTTACCAAACATAAATCCATTGATGGCTGCAAAAGAGAAAGCGATTAACTCTCTGCAGGCAGGTATCAGCCAGGAGGTTCATTTTGTGCATACAAAGAACAGGCCTGGCATGGGAAGGAAGAGTAGTTTATTTGCAATTCACCCCTGAGTACACTCAGCACACACTTCCCCAGACAGCTGGGCTGCTTGTCCACACCCCACCTGCTGCCTCCAGGCTGGTTTGATTCCAGGCCAAGACCACACAGGCCCTCCAGCCCCCAGCTCAGCCTTTAGGTGAGCATCACCCAGTGCTTTGCAAGTTCATCCCTGCTGCCACAGAGCAGCATCCAACCATACCATGCATCCTGTTGGATTCCTTGAAGCCATCATCCTTCTTTACAGATGTCTCTTCCATTCTCAAGTAGTACTTTATGTTGGCATTTAAATACCAGCTGAGGTTCTCATCAAACACACTGAAGAGAAGGTAAAATTCTCTGTCGATCCCTTTCTATAATTACAATGATGGCTGTTAATTTTTAAAACACACCAATTAACTACCCTTAGAGTTAAAGCTGTCTTGCTTGGCTCTTGTGTCCCCCTCTACCTTAAAACCTGGCTCATTAAGGGCCAGGACTCTGTCCCTTTATTCATGTTGAATGTTCCTCTTTTATTTCATAAAAGGCACCACTTTTGCATTTTCCATGACACTTCCATGAATAAAGTGATCAAAACTCAGCCAAGGGCATGAAGTCATTGCCCCCTTCCCCCTCAGCTGTAAATTTAGGTGTCAGTGCAAACCAGTCCTGAGACCAGAGCCCAGACACGAGGCTGGCTGATGAACACACTCGACCCTTCCTGCCTCCTACCACAGGCCAGAATTAGGGCTTTTTTTAATTACCCTAAATCCTTTCCAGTGTTAATTCTCCTACAAAATGCACTCCAAAACATGGTGTTTCCTCACTAAAAGAACATCCTGGTGGTGTCCAGACTCTCGCTCTGGTGTCACTGTTCCCAGCAGTACTAAGGCACCTGGCCTGCCAAGAAGGTGAAGCAATTCCCAGACTGCAGCACATGGGAGTGGCCATGCACCTTCCACAATTAAGCATTCATTAAAGAGTTGCCTAAGATTGTGGAGCCAGAATTGCCACCCCAGGTGATTTTTCCCTGTCCTATCTTTACAAACAGGTCCATCCCTGTTTTGCTTACACCCTTCCAATACCTGCCCACCTGGGCTGCACGTATTCCCAATCTCTCTGCTCAGCAGATCCACATTGCACCCTGGGTAGTGTGCTGATCTCTTCTGCACTCCTAATTTAGTCCCATGGTGCCCCTACTGCATGTGAACTCCCCCCAGAAGGCTCCAGGGGCAGCTGTCCCCAGACCCGTCCCCGCTGCCGCAGGACGGCAGTGCTGGTTTATCTGCCGCCTGCTTCTTTCACAACAAGGCTCTCCCTCTGCTCATCTGTCTGGCATCTCCCCCAGATATCAATTTACTATCTTCCCCAGACTTATTTCCAGGAATGAACTATCCCTGAGTGAAATTCCAAGAGGAAGTTCTGTTTGCCCTTCAGATTTCACCCCTCCTTCATCAAAAGCATAAAGACTGACATGGATTTTCACATGCTTTTTTGTGGTCAGCTCTGCTTGAAAATGAACTTCTCTTGCAGAATAAACAAGGCTCATCCAAACAAAGCACTGTATCAAACAAAGCATTGTATCACCCAAGCAAAACACCTGTAAGTGAAAATGTCTTGTCAATGTTTCTGGGATTGCAATGAGTATTCCACATCCTTCTGAAAGCAGCCTGCTACACAAGCCCCAGGACAAGAGTTACCTATAAGGTAACTGTTCCAAGTTACAATTGTTTAGCCAAGTTCATCTATGAACTTAAAGCAGAGCTCAGAAACCATTTTGAGGGCAGCTCTTGGGAGCCCAGAACACTACTGGCCTTTCCCAGGCTAGACCTGGGCACCAGCTGTCCCAGCATTAACCTGACCCATGGCTTTGATTTGACTCTCCTGGACTTTCACTATTGCATATTTGTTTTCATTACGTTCCCTAGTGTTTTGCTGACACTTTCTTTCTCTACATGAAAGCAAAGAGTCTGGTAGGAGCAGGGCAGATAAACCCCTTTACCTGTTTGTTGTTGTCATCCAAAGTGCCTGGCTGGCAGATGAGCAGAGGCCCCACTAAGCCCGAGCTGGAGTCTTTGACAGGGTTCACAGCTGAGCTGTACATCCAGGTGAGGCAGGGAGGGTCGCTGGCCATGGGCCCCACATGCCTGGGCACAGTCCAGCGGTATGTGAAGTTGTGCAGTGGTGCCACAGACATCCCATTCTGGGACAGGCCTTTAAAACAGAGATTATGGGATTATTCCTGAGGTCCCTGCAAAACCTCAGTTACACCTTCTCACCAGCTACATTCATAGCAGGCTTTACTTTGTTCATGTCACCAAAACACCCAGCACCTCTGAAGGGTGATGTGGGTGTACTCAAGAAAAGGGATCCACCAACCGTCATGGTACCACATCCCTTCCCACGCCTTTCCGTAGGACACTCCGTGTGGCTGGATGCTGAAGGGCCAGGAAGCTTTGTTAAAAAATGTCACGAGGATGGTGTCTCCAACTTCAGCTTTGATCACTGGACCTAGAAAATAGCAGAGAGAACAGATCAGCAATAGAGCACCTCCCCAGGCAACCAGGCAAACCAAAGCAGCCATGGCACCTTCCCCCAGGCTGCAGGGGCTAAGGAGGAGAGCTGGTGGGTACCCTGGCTGCTGAAGGGAGCTCAGCGGGAGCAGGGACTGGCAAGGGTCATCTGACAGCACTTTGGGTCTGTGGGAGAACTCAGAGGTGTCAGGCCTTCACAGAGGGAGTAACACAACAGCCAGATGCGCTGGAATGCCTTCGGGAAAGGCCCATGTCTCTCTCCCACTACACAAGGCCCCCTCAGCCTCCCAACACGTGTGCCGCAGAGATGTGAGATGCTCCAAGCTCACCACAGTCTGTGAGCCCCTGCTCCAGCCAGCCAGAGAGGAACGCCAAGCCTTTACCATGCCTGTCCCCACCAGCCCCTGACCTGCCCTGGGTCCACAGAGCATCCCGAGGACACAGAAGGGTCTCAGGAGCCAGGCTGCCTCTATGTGCACACTTGGCTGTGACAGAGAGCACCACTCAGGAGAGGAGTCTCTCAGGAGAACATGGGGTTTGCAGCAGGCCTTGAAGGGACTCAGTCAAAAACATGTTAACCAGGAGCTACTGCTGTGACCTGTTTAGCTTTAGTCACAAATACTACACTGTGTCCCTCAGATACCTTAAGAATCAGCTCTGAAGCAATTCTGTCTGTTCTGCCACCTCCCACCTTCACCTGTCCCACTCACTCTCACAACTGTGACTGTTGTGAAGCACCTCTGTGCCCCCAAAACAAGAGGGCAGGTATAGCTAACTGGCACTCCCAGCATCAGCATCCTTCTCACCAACACTGACAGAGGATTTGCGTTCCTGGATGATTCTCACCGAGTATTCCAAGGTGTTTCTCTTCTTCTGATTGCTGCTTTTCTTCACGGAAGCTCTCATCAGTGTACTCTACATACTTTGCCTTCCAGTAGACACCCCCAATGCGGTAGAGGCTACGCCTGAAATACTGCTCAGCAGGGCTAAATGCAAAAAACAAATGTCAGGTTATTTCATAGGAAAAAAAAAATTCAGTCGTATTCCCCTGCTCCCCCTCCCTCTGGCAAGACCAGCAACATCTCCAAATCAAGCAGCATTTCAGACATGGACAGCACCTTTAGTTTGGAACCAGCACACCCTCGACTCTTCAAAGCTTTTTTATCCCTACAGACTTGTCCACTTGCGTGTTCAGAGAGCACCTGTGGCACACAGCCCTCTCCCAGCTGAACCTGCCAGGTTCAGTGGCACAGCTGTGATCAGCACCTCTACATAGGATGTGTAAAGGAGTCCGTGGGAAGGCAGTGCTAAAAAACCAAGCTCTTTAGAGGTCATAGACAGCCCAGGGGACGGCCACAATCATAGCTAAAATAAACAGCTGTAAAGAGATTTATTTCCTCTGCCAACACCCTCGCCAAACACAGACATAGCAAGCCTTGCAGGAGAGGCAGCACAGTTACAATGTCAGCTCACAGGTCTAAAGAGCTTTCAGTTCTAAGGTCTGCAAAGTCGCTGCACAGCACTGGGTAAATAATTAACTGCTCTGCATTTCTCCTTCTCCATCTGAATGAAGTATATCCTCTCCAGCAGTTTCCCAGGGAAGGGAGCGGAGGGAGAGGAATTTCTGTTTCAGTTAGCCAAAGCTTGAAGGTGAAACCTCTCACCAACTGCTGTCACAGCCACTTGATCATGGAATAGAGGGCTGCCACCCAGGTCCCTGCATTTGATTTCCTAGAAACTGCTTCCTGCAGCAAGGTCACCCTGAGGCCCATCCACAGGCCAGCTCTGCCACCTGCGTCAGCTGCATCAGGGGCTTTTTGAACCATTCCTTAAATACAAAGATCTGTTCCTAGGTCAGGCACAGCAAGCAGAAATGAAGCTCAGAGGCAAACATGACAGCTCATGTTGTATATCTGCTAGGACTCCTGCTGCCTGTGGGTATGGCTGTGCCACACAGCATGCCCACACGAAGGCCCGAGGTACCTGTACTGCTCAGTGTGGTCTGGCTACAGCAGCCTCCCTTTACAGACAGGGTGATCTGCCTTCCCAGGAAATGTACTTCATGTGAATTGCAGGAATGTATTTTGAAAAAAAAAAATTCCACATTTTCCTGAACAGGCTTCCTGACACAGGCCAGAGCCCCCAAACACTGCCCAAACCCATCAGCCTCTCGCTTACCTGCCTGCCTCACTCAGCCGCCTCCCACTGCTCTGCTCGAGCCCTGAGGGTCCGTAGTCCCATTGCACTTCCTTGGCAGCTATGTAGTACTTCCGAACTCTCCCTTCCAGGGTGGATGGCAGAGCTTGCCGAGAACAGGGCCGGACTTCATAGAGTGCTCCCATTCCAGCTGTCCAAGACATGGAGGACATGCACACTCAGCCCCCTCAGCCCCTCTCTGATGGCCAATGGACACAGTCCCACCTTCCAAAGGGCACATGGAGGGGGGAAGGAGAGTAGGTAGTTCCCACAGCAAGGAGTTTGTCAGTGAGCAGAGCTTCCAACCTTAGGTATTGGATGCTATGGAAGCATATATAGAGAGTAGTCGACTGGAGCCTTCTGCTGCCCTCAGCTCTACCATGCAAGCACCCCTTACAGGGACCAGAGCTCTTAAGGCACTGCCTCATCTCAGCTTTCAGCTGTACCAAATGTGGAACATCATACTCTGGTACAAATCACCCTCACCAAGGCTGCCCTGCACATTAATAATCAGCCCGCTCCAATTTATACAAGACAAGGAATAACCCACTCATCTGGGGATGTTTTCATGCCCAAGGCACTGTCCCCAACTACACTGTACATCACAGGACCACACTGACAGAAAAAACAGACGACACAGAGTCCAGGTCATATTCCACCTTCTGCCTTACCTTGTATGTGATCATTGACCTGGCAGCTCAGCAGCCATCTCCCAGGGTTACTGGGGATCATGTCTGCTGTAACAAAAGTGGCTGGGAAGAGGCTGGCCACGTCTGTCCTGTGGCCTCGGATATTGAGTGTTGCTCCATGGAAGAAGGCTGTATGAACATCAATTTCATTTCCCATCCCGAAGAGGTGCCATGAAACATCATCCCCAGCACACATCGTCAGCTCAGGGAGGTTGCCAAACACATAACCATTAATAGCTGCAAAACCAAACAAGCCAGAATCAGAGAGCAGAAAAGGGGCTTTCAAAGCTCCTACCAGCAGGTCACAGCACAGACATAATGGGAGGATGCACCTAACCAGAACTCATCCTCCTCTTCTGTTTTGGAGAGCCTAGCTCCACAGCTCATTCCTAAAACCAAGGGTATAAAAGCTCACTCAAGCCAAAGATTAAATCAAAACAATACTTCCTTTTTCTGGAGTTGTTGCCCCATCCCCGTGACATTTGCTCAGCACATGATCTCAGAGCAGATCCCAGAGCACTGACACCCTTGAGTGTCTTAGCAGAGTCAATGGCCTCACAAAGCTGACACTGACCATGCATTTTGTTGCTCTCCTGGAATTCCTCATCTTCTTTGTCTACAGAGCCAGGATCTATGCAGAATGATGCTATGTTCTCATCCAGGTACCAGCTTAGGTTCTCATCCACCACACTGAACATCAGAAAGAAATCAACATCCACATCCTGGCGCCTTTGAGAGCTGCCAGTCAGTATTCCTGAGGGAAAAGGAGAGAGGAATGAATGCAGAAAAATCATACATCAGGCAAGAGATTAAAACAGCAATAGCAGAGACACACTTGTTACATGAATTGGAGGCAGATGCTTTTCCACCATCCTCACCCTTTTCCAATATACCCCTGCCAATACAGTTCTCTCTCCCAAGTGGCTCTGCCACTGCATGGCTCCGCTGCAACACCTTCAGTCTTCTCAATCCTGCTGAAATCAGTCACCATATTTTTAATACACAAACTGTATCTTGGACAAGAGTCTTGCATTTAACATGGATTCAAGCAGTTCTCTTAGATCAAGAGCCCTGCAAGCTCATCTGCCCTACCAGTAATGGATAAAGACAACACGATGACCAGAACCCTGCTAGAACACAAGTACTGTCTTCTCTAACCAAGCTGATTTTCCCCTGAAGCTGGGAGATGCCCACCAGAGTATCTTCACAACCTATCCTTATTCATGTCACCACAAAACCTTTACACTACAAAACTGCAGCCCTCAGCTGCTTTTTCATGTTTTTTTTTACCTTTTTTACATGTAAGTAATGGCCCAATCAATCCAGATGCAATGTCCCTTGGTGCATCAATATGAGAGTGGTAGATCCAGGTCAAGCAGTTTGGGTCATCAGCAGTTGGGCTGTGATCTTCAGGGATAGTCCAAGTATAGGTGTAATTCCCTCCTGGGAAAACAGCATCATCCTTCTTCTGATCCTGGGGGGACATATCGGGATACAGGGATCCTGGAACAATTGAGCAATCACAACATCCATTCAAGAAGAGCTGAGATGCCCACACGTGTAACCTTCTACTGAGCCACCCTCACTCAACAGACCTGGATGTATGCACTTGGGTAGCAGATTTCAAAGTGAGACTCACCATTCCAAGGCTGAAATAGTGTTTAATCATCACTCCCTCAAAAGACACTGAGGCACAGAGCCACTGTAAGGCAACTTGCCCAGTAAATGGGCAGCACAGAGTCAGCAAGATTATTTCCATTCCGCCTAGTGCTACTTTGCCTTCAATTCTGCACTGTGCCCCCACAGTCAGCCTCTTTACAATCTCTAGGGTTAATCAGCGTTTTGGAAGTTCTTCTAAAACCAAGAAGCCTGGACCATGTACTGTAATGTGCAAGTCAGGAAACTACTCACAGTCCCCTGACCCTGCTAACCCAACACCAACCAAGTGCAGTTGCTTTCCAGCTGGGGCTTTACAGACAGCTCTCCTCCACACATACTCCTAAGTTCCCAGTGAGTAAAATCTGTCTCTGTGATGGCAGTGGCTCATTTACCTTCGGAGTCCTTTTCGTAGAAAACACCATGAGGATGGATTGTATACGGTCGAGTAGCAAAATTTTTTAGGTGTACTTTAAGGGTATCCCCCACTTCTGCTCGGATGACAGGCCCAAGGAACCCCAGCCAGCCAGGCTTGGGGATCTCAGCGGTGTACGTGGAGTCCGTGTATTGCTTATAGACAGATTTCTTGTACGTGCTTCCCACCCTGTCTTTCCCAGGCTGGAGGAATGCTGCGGCCTGGCTGTTAAATTCAAAGGGAAAGGCATCGTTATATCCAACAGCTGGTTGATAACACAGTACAGTGATGCTGACACTCCAGTTTCCCAGGTACAGCTGAAAACTTGGGCATTAGAGGACCCTGGGATGCTCTAAGCCACCTCTGCATGGCCACAACCTCAACCTCAGCTTTCACCAACGGACACAAAGTGCACCCCTGAACTGTGCCCTACGAACAAGGAACAGGAAGGGTGGTGGTTCCCTGACAATCCCATGTGGGGTTGCAGGAAGGACCTTTCTCATGCCTGCTTCAGCCTTCACTGGGCTCTGAGAAACTCACTTCAATTCTTTTTCGGCCTTTGCAGCTAAATCCCAAAGCGGGGAGGAAGTTTCCTGAGCTCTCTGGCCAAAATTGATAGTCTGACAGATTATTTTCTACTTAACAGATTCTGAATTCCTTGCAGAATGACAGATGAGTCAGGCAGCTTCCAGAGTTAAAACCTCATACAGGTACTAAAGTTCAACTCATGAGCATATTTGCTCTTTATGGCTAATTCTTAATAGATAAGAGATGAATCATAGTACAGGTATTAGTGGAACCAGTCTAAATGAGAGCTGAGGTCACTCCCCCAACTTCCCCCTTTGGATCAATCACCACAGCAGTAGAACAGCCCTGGAAGGGAGGCAAACTCTAACACATGTCTCAGAGCATGAACAGTTGAGACCGAGATATTAAGCATAGCCCTTTTCATTCAAGAAGGTGCAGGGCTGGGCTGTAGCTACACAATCCAGAGCTCAGCCCTTTGCTAAGTCAGCCCTGCAGCCATCATCTGCAAAGAGTTTAAGTTAATTCACAATTCATTTTGCAGATTTGAGTCTTTCCCCACACAGTCCATTTCTTCCCAACAACATTTCTTCAAATATTTTACTACCTCTGTTGTTCATATTGACATCACGTCCCTTTCTAATTGGCAGCAATTTCATTTCTGCAATCACTGTACAAAGAAGTCTCATTAGCTAATTGTTTGCAGCGACAGAACAGCTTTTAAATTCCTTTTACGTTCAACAGTCCTGAATTTCATTTCCTTTTCTTCATGTGTTATGAGAGAAAGCAAACAAAAACCACTGCATTTACTATCACTTCAGGAATCAGTGATAACATCTTTATTAACCCTGAATTTTTGGGGGTTTCCTGTGAACTAATTTACATCTATACAGCATCTCCAGAGAACAGAGACTTTTCCAAGCTAAACTGACAGACTCTTATGTTTCTGTGGACCCCTCCTCTTCCTGCTGTGCTGGTTCTGAAGGGTAAACCCAAGTGGTAGTTATTATGATGGGGTTAAGGACTGAGAGCAGGTCAAGAAATACTGGCTATTCGCCACAGAAAATGAGGGTGGCAGAAAAAGCACAATTGCCTTCAAAATTCTTTGGAAAGCTATTAAACAACAAAACAAACCACGCACAAAAAAAAAACCACCCACCAAAGAAAAAAGTTTGGTGCCTTGAAAAATAAAACCGAAACCTGTTTTTGTAATGACTCAAAGTAATTATAGCAGTTTCCAGATTTACTTTTGCAAGAAAAACAAAAATATTTTTCAAACAAAATCTCATGCAGGAAGTTCCATTAAGTCTAAGGCTTGAAACTCCATTGAAACAAAAAAGCTGTCTCTGTGAAGTCATTCACATCATGATGAAAAGTCATCCTGCCTCAGAATACATAAGCTGATCACCAGCTGGAACTAAGCAAAATGAAACCTCAGGGCAGAGCATTGCACAATCTGCGCTATTTTAGAACAAACTGCTCTATGTTCTGTTCCGTGTTTGTTTTCAGTACACTTCCCTCCAGTGTACGGGCTCTGGATGCTTCAGACTGACCATTCCTTTTCCCACTGACACAGGTTCTATGCTCCTATGACAAAACTAGTTAAACATTAAGCTCATAAAGATCAGAATCTATCAGTAAATCTCTTGCTTGCTCAGATGCCCCAAAATACTTGCAAAAAATTACACATGAAATGACAATTTGAAGCCAGTCCCAGATTAAATTCTCTTAGAGCCAAACATACCTGTTATGAGCAACACTCTGGTTAGCGAGCACATTCCTCCCTGTGGGAGCATAGTTCCAGTCCACCTCGTGGATCCCCAGGTAATAGACTCGTGTCACACCCCCAGCAATTATGGGTGACAGCGTGGGGACACAGAGCAGCAACCACCAGACCAATCCCATCACAGCCTGAAGGGAAAGTGCTTTTGGAGGTTTCACCTGTTTTGGGAAAACAAAGACAATGAAATGGAATATGATCACCTAGGTTGAAGGTACTGGACATTTTGAGAGGGCATGAAGAAATCAGGTGTAAGTCCTATTGGGATTGTTTTTCAAATATCCAAGAAGGAAATCACTCCATAACAGAATTAATACACAAGGTGGGTAGAGATCTTGCCTTGCTAACGAGCCCCCAATACCAAATGTGCTGCTCTCATAATAGCTTGATTAACCCCCTTTTCACCGCTGCTGATGTTCCAAATCATCTTACAGGTCCACATACAAAGCTCAGGGAAAGAGTCCTGAGTACATATCTGTATATTTTAAACTCTCGCCAAGATCTCTCTATTCTAAGTCACCTGAGGAAGTACAGCTTAGTCACTATGAAGTAATTTTAAATTTTAACTTTGTTAAAGATGGATCTTACAGAGCAGTTCTCTGTAACCCAGGAGTACATCTCAAATAGGCTGCACAAGGCTTTTTGCTTTTTGTTCCATTAAATGTTTTCTCCACGATTATGACCACAAAGTAGCTTACTCATAATACTTCCAATTGACATCAAGCTTGGTGTGATCAAGCACCAGAAATACTCTGAAGAGATTTGGAGAAAAGTTGGGGAAACTGTCTGAAATCATCAAAATACAGTTCTGCCAATACAGGTTCAAAAAGCCACCTGTATAAGGAGAAGCTGATGCAATATGGGACAGTAGAATTACACCAAAGGATAAGGAAGGGTTAGAACAGATGAAATGCTTAAGAAAGGTCTTATCCAGTGATACCCTAAACAAAGCTGGATGTAACCAGCAATCAAACTGTACCTAAACCAGATGTCCAGCTCTTCAGACACATAACAGCAACTCAGAGCATGTTCAGCAGAGAGAAACAGAAAGCAAGAGAATGAGACACATGACCTAACAAGAAAGCTCAAAGGACTCAGTTTTCCATAATTTCATAATTTCATAATTTCCATAATTCATAATTTCCATAATTTCATAATTTCATACAGAAGGGGATAGTGACGCAACTTCATAGCAAACAAAGGTTTTTTCATAAAGAGACTGTCATTACTTATTCTCCCCATCTTTGAAACAGCAACATGAATATATCAGGTTTATCTGCAGCAAAGCTAGATATTCTGTAAACTTTCAGCCAGCATAGCACATAGCAGCTTTGAAACCTCTTACCATATCTGATACCCAACAGACAGGATTCAACCACAGCGCACAGCAATGGACTAGACAGCTTTCAAAGCTTCATTTCTGATTTTCAAACGTGCTGTGTTGTTCTCAGAAGCTAATGATAATCAAGTATTGCTGATTCCAGATAGTCATTAAATTGAGAAGTTGAGACAAAGCAACTCTCAATTTGGAAATGCCTTTTTTCCTACCTTTCTCGGAAGGGGGTTTAGGGATCTCTAAATCAGAAATGGTTTTGATTCATCAACACAGTATAGCTCTGCTCCAGTGGCTCCACCAGCCACTCCTTTCAGAAACTCCTAGTCACACATCTAAGAAGCTCAGATACAGAGCAGCCCCTTCCCCGTGGCCCCAGCAGTGTGGGGACAACGGCATCACTGGCTCAGCCCCACTGCCACACACCATCCTTATTATACCCTGCTACTGCTGCTCCAGGACCCACCACTGATCATGGGGAGGTGAAATACTTGCTCTGATCCACTCTGTGCCAATAAAGAGGATTCAAAGGAAGGGCTTCAGAAAGCTGTACCTGTGCTGTTTCACACGGCAGACCAGCAAAAGGCAGCGCAGAAGGAAACAGCCAGCATTGCCAGCCCTCAGCCCGGAACCTGCCCCCCCCGCCGGCACACGCCCGAGGGAAGGGCAGGGGATGCTCCTGACTCATCAGCCCAAGCTGTGGCCTTCGTGTCAGTGCAGGGCAAAGTACGCGGGGTGGCCTCCTCAAGGCCTGGGAGCCACCGAGCCCAGGGAGCCAGTGCGGGCTGGTCTTTGTGTTCTCCCACCTCAATGGTTTATGCAGGCAGTACCACACCCCAGGAAAGGGCAGAGCTCAGACCTTACAACAGGGTGAACAGCACCTCTCGAAGCTGGTTGTGAAAAATGGGGATGGAGACAAACCCCCTGCACCAGCCCACTATTCCTGCACGGCACAGCCCCTGCTCCGTGCAGCAGCACCACAGCACCCATCAAACGGCCAGAAGTCCTGGCATTCTAATTGCTCTGTGGTGTTCTCTGGCACTGAAAATAGTCAAGGGCGAGTCTGTGAGACAGTCCTACTGATTCTTTAAAAGAGTCCCACCTGGGCTCTGGCTAGACCTTAACCACGACACTGCACTCACCTCTGAGGCAATTCTACGGTACAGCAAAATACATCCATGAATGCAGATGCAAAAACTGAGACCGAGTCTGTGCTCACATTCCCCTCCCAGTAGCTAATCACCATTTACTCGACTAGTGCAAGGTGAAGGTGGCCCAAAATCTCAAATTCTTTTCAAAACATTTTTTTCAATTTTTCTTTGATAATAATATATGCCTTGATTAAGGGAAAAAAAAAAAAGGAAACAAAACCAAAACCGACCCAAACTTTGTATTACATTCATCCCTGAACCTTGCATTTTACAGCAGAACCCTCCCCCCAGGACTGCCCTTTGCCGGGTCCCCAACAGCACAGGGATTGCGAACGAACGGAAATGAGACTCCAGTGGGGCTGGTGGGACGCAGCTCCCATCTGACCCGCGTGGGCGCTGCGGGGTCGTTCCCCAACACCTGACTGCAGGAAAACTGCTGTCCGAGAGCGAGGGGAAAGCACCGAGGGAAGGCAGGGGGCGGCTCGTCCCTTACGTGCGGGCGGGACGCGGCTCGACGGGGCTGCGGAGCGGGACGCGGGAGCACCGGCGGGGACGAACCCGGGCGGGACAAAGGGGGGCTGCCTCCGCGGGCGGACCGAGCCCACCCCGCCCCGGCAGTCCCCGCCCCGCAGCACCGCCCGCTCCCGCACCGTCCGCCCACCGTGGGGGCCGGGCTGCCCCGCCCCGCACCTGCGGGAGCGCCCCGGCCGCACGCGCGGAGCGCTGTCCGCGCTCGCACCTGCCCGCCCCGCCCAGGGCTCGTCCGCCGGTGCGGGGAGGTGCGGGGAGGTGCGGGGAGGCCCGAGCAGGCCCGGCAGGGCCGGACAGCCCCGGACAGGGCCGGACAGCCCCGCACAGTCGGCGGGCGGCGCCGGGGGGGGGGCCGGGCTGGGGGGGCCCTTTAAATGCGCGCGGTGACGTCACGCGGCCGCGCGCTCCCCTGGGAGCACAACAAGAGCCACGCTCGCGGCCGCGGGGCGGGGCCGGGCGGTTCCCGCCAATGAGCGCTCGCCCCACGCGCCGGCCCCGCCCCGCAGTGCGCGCAGCGGCCCCGCGGCCCGACCCGGCCCGGCCTGGCCCCAGGATGCGGGAGGCGCCCGCGCTGCCCCGCGGCCCCGCCGCGCCCGGCCCCGGCTCCGGCCCCGGCCCCGGCCCAGGCCCCGCGCCCGTCCCCGGCTTTCTCGCCAAGCTCTGGGCGCTGCTGGAGGACCCGGACAGCGACGACGTCATCTGCTGGAGCAGGGTGAGGCGGCCGCGCGGGCCCGGCCCGAGGAGGCCTGCGCGGAGGGCTCGGGGTGGTGGGGAGTGCGGGGCCCTGCGGGCCGGGCGGCGGCGGCGGCGGCGGCGAGGGAGGAGGAGGATCCCCGGCTGCCCGGATCCCCCGAGCCCGGTGGGGCAGCCCCGCGGCTGTGCCCGGGACGCCGCGCTGCCCGCGCAGCCCCGGTGCGGCCCGGGGGCCGGTCCCGAATTCCCGGTCACCGGCATCGGGTGGGGAAAGGAGTCATCAACTGTTAGTTTTGTTTGCGGAGCGGAGGCCGATGCGCCCCGCGGGCACAGGGCACGGACACACAGACCACACACCCCAGACAAGCACCGTGTTTATTTTTGTCCCTGTCATTTTTAAATCCGAGGGATTTTCTCCTTTGTTTTTAGCTGTTTGTCCTCTACAAGGAAAAGATAAAAAGAAACACAATGTTTTTGTTCTCTTTGTGAATAGCATTAAAAGTGATGCAAAAAACCTCTGGCCGCTTCCAGGAAGTTTGATCTTGAGCATATGATAAATCTGAGACTGCTGGTGTCTCACTTACCCCTGGTCACCGCTGGGTTGTGTTGTCTGAACTTTTGGTTCAGACAACTAACAGCAACGTTACTTGGTTATTTTTAGTGATGACGTAGCACATACAATGGAATAATCTTGTCAGGAGCTGGTCAGACTGATGAAGGGAGATGAAATCTCTCTAGTGGTGTGAATTCCATTGTGTTTGAGCAATGCTTATGTTTCCTGTGGACAAGGAGAGCAGGTTTTTAGAACAATTTTGCTTTGGATTAAGATCAAAGCATCAGGGCTTTAAGAAAATCCCTATGCAATAGAAGTGTTCCATGTAACTGTGTCTCTGTATTAAAATTTTTTAGTCCAGTCCCAAGTACTGAGAAGTATTCCCACAGGCAGTTCCCTTGGTGAAGTGTTTTGCTCGTCTCTGCTGATTTATGGTCTTCACTTAAGAGCAACATCTTAGGAAAGCTGTGCTTGTTCATTAACTGTTACTCCTGTTTATTTCCTAGAATGGCGAGAATTTCTGCATTCTGGATGAGCAGAGGTTTGCCAAGGAGCTGCTCCCTAAGTACTTCAAACACAACAATATCTCCAGCTTCATACGGCAGCTCAACATGTGTAAGCATCAGCTGTTGCTACGTGTTCTCTCTGCCAAGTTCATTGGTCCTTGGCTTCATTTTGGATTTCTTTAAACAAGCAAGTAGACTTGGCAAGTCTCATCCCTGAAAACCTGGGTTCTGGCCTTGAGTTTGCTTTGCAAAAGAAAACACTGATGGTAGAGCTTGGTTTTTGGTTTTTGTGTTTCTACTCCAAGTCCTTTAGAGCAACAGCTGTAAGAATATGTAAGAACCCCCCAGGGTGGGGTTCCCTGGGCTCCAGTGGTGCTGTTAATGTAGCAGCAAACATATGTGTACCCTGGGGAGCAAAGGCTGTGTATACACCCATACTCCTAGAATGTGAAAAAAATTGCCTGGATTTGGGGCTGCCATTGCTTTTGCTTGCATTGGTGTGTTGGAGCCTGATCAGTCCTGCTGATGGGCTGAGCTGGACTATGTTTCTCATTACATTTTCTGTGCTTGTGAGCGTCACGTGGCAGCATTTTATAGCACGTGTACAGCGTCTCCAGGCAAAGGGATGCTGTGAGAGAGAGACTGCAGCACCCAGCAGGAATAGCTGCAGAAGCTTCTGGGCCCAGTGGAAGGGCAAAGTGCACAGGAGATGCTGCCTTAGTTAGAATTTCATTGGGAGTGAGAGGGAGGAGCTCTCTGTCCATGTCCAGTAGTTTGCCTGGTCTCTCTAGCTGATGCTTGTATAGATTTTGTCAGATGTGAGAGAAAGCACACCTGTTTAGTGTTTGGACAGAGGGTAGATGCAGTTCTTTGTGTCATGTGTTGCTGTTTCTGTGACCCTGTTACTTGAGTGACAAAGGGTAATCCAAAGAAACAATTGTCACTTCCTTTGTAGCCAGGGTAAATGTGAAAATGCAAATATTCCTATGAAGACATGCAATGCAGTGGCAGCCTCCTTTTCCTGGTGGACCTATCCTGGCTCCGTAACGCCAACACTGTTGGGGCACAGTGAAGCTGGAATCCATTAACTGTGTTAAAAACTTGAGCAAGGAGAGAGATGGATTGGTCTGTCAGCTCTGTCCTGCCTCTACCCTGTGGTGCTTAAACAGTGATGGACATAGAGCTAGCAATGTCTCACTTTGTGCAGACAGTTCTCCATACTTGGAGAAGGTGCTCTGCTGCAGGTATTTGCACAGGCAGGGAACTAATTTCCCTATCTTGCTTTATTCTGTAGACCATGGTGGTGCATGACAGCATTTGCTTTGATATGTAGTTGTCAGGGATGAAAGGGGAAGGTGTACTGTTCCTCTGCTTGCACTGGGACAAGATTCTGTGTAAGATGTCATAACAAATCTCATTTCTAACTAACTGCTGTGGTGTTTTGGACATGACTGTCTTGCCCATGGACACTTGGTGACCTCTGCCACACAGCTGTGTGTGCAGCCTGCCAGGGCGTTCCATGGTACTGTGGACACGTTCTCTAGCTGTGAAGATCAAAGCAGTGAAATCACTGAGCACCAGCAAAAGCTGCTTTGGCCGTTTTTCATAGTTTCTGCTCCTAGTAACTGTGGTGCTTTGGATATTTTGGTAGCCTTGGAGTTTTCTTTAGCTGTATGTTGTAACAGTCAGCTTTGTACTGGGAGAAATGCCTTTGCTGATTCCTCTCCACAGATGGTTTCAGGAAGGTGATTGCTCTGGAGAATGGTATCATTACAGCAGAGAAGAGCTCAGTCATTGAATTCCAGCACCCTTTCTTCAAGCAAGGGAAGGCACATTTACTGGAAAACATCAAGCGCAAGGTACAGTCTAAGCACAATGTTTACTTCACTGTGTCATGAAAAGTGGCTTATTAACAGCATGTATGGGTGTTTCAGAGCCAGCAAATGCCATGGGAAACAAGGTTGTACATCCTGATGCAAGCCTTAGTAACTCCCTCACGGTGCCATGCTGGTGCTTAGCTGGGCCTCCTCGTGCCAGTGCTTAGACAAAACCCTCCCTGCTGTTGGCAATGCACTGGGATAGGACCACATTCTGCATCTCCATCAAACAAGAGCCCTTTCCACAGAGCTCATATCCCTGATTGCAGCTTATCACAGTCTACAGTTCTGTCAGCGTCTCCAACTCAGAGAGAGGCACAAAGTGAAAGAAGCAAAAGAAATACATTTTCATTTGACACTCATTGAAAATTAGCAAGGGCCTCAGTAATCATTTC